ACTCTTTCGCAATTCTGACATAATGTAATGTAAATATGTGTAATTAAGTTTCATTATTGGTTTTAATCCATAATGATCCTTGTTATATTGTTAATTTTATCGTTTATCCATCCCGTTCGTGTGGAATTAAAAAATATTTAGGAAATAGTCTTGTTGACCCGACTATGCTCTACATCTATGCCAAATTTCAAGATCAGTAGAGCCGTTTTGAAGATACTTTCTGACATCCATCTAAACTTTAAATATACAATCTATACATATAATAAAATTGGAGTGTCTGTTTGTAATATCAAAAGAAACATTCCAGATTTCGGGAAGACGATGTATTTGCTTTGCTGACAACGAAAATCGCATTTAAATTTTTTCGTCTGTCTGTCTATCTGAGCAAAAGCCGTGTTTACCCGGGTAACCTCCGAATTTGACCGGACTTTCACTGTAGCTGCCATACACGGGCATATTATATGCTATTTCTTTTATCTTAATATACGACGAAGTCGCGGGCAACAGCTAGTATTAGAGTAAAACATTTCTAGCATTTTGTAAGTTGTAGATTGGATAGTATTGTTGCCTTTTTATAATATCAGACTCAAATGATATGTGTTCAAACAAGTGAAAACTTTTTATAACATGATATATCGTTTATTTATAGGCTGTGGTTTTTCAATTAGTACCGTACTATACTTGGTTATTATAAACATATAACGGGAAGAACATTTTATGTATTACTTACCAGGAAAATAAGGAATATTTCCGTTACATAAATAAATGCAACAACCATAGCCTTGTAGTTAAATAAACCTATGGTTTTTACCGCTGTAAGTACGAGAATAAATATATAAAATACAAAAAAAAAAACGAAATCTTAAATACTACTTTTTTTTTCTAATTTACGATTAAATTACGACAAACATTCGTTAAGTTATAATTTAGGTTGGAGCTATGGATTACTTGTAAGTTTGATTTGACGCAAAGATATCTATAGAAAAATAATAAGTATAGTCAACTTTCACACAAAAACTGAGGATTACGTCATTTGTATACATTCATAATATTGAATACACCGACCAATATGTTTAGACTCTACTAGCTGTTTCTCGCGACTTTGTTTGCATGGAAATAAAAATATTTAATAACTTGGGAGAATACGGAAATACCAATAACACCCAATAGTTTCATCGCTTCCAACCTGTTCGCATTTTTGATCGATTTCCCAATAGGAGATACTCAGTTCGTCAGTAAATCTATATTAATATTATGAAAAGGAAAGATTTGTATTTTTTATATATTGGAATTTCTCATAAACTATTGGGCCGATTTCAAAAATTCTTTCACCATTAAAAAGCTACACTATCAGTGAGTAACATAGGCTATATTTTTTTTTAATTTGACGTCGAAGTCGCGAGCAACAGCTAGTTTTTTCATAAAGTTATTTTCAACTTACGTATATATTTCAAAACGTATTATTTTCCAAAATCGAAACCGAAGCGAAATGGTGTTTTTGTGACTGACTTATGTAACTGAATTTAATATAGCAACTGAGTTTCGTTTATTATTACACATATCGTGTTTGTGCTACACAAGGATAGTATGAAAGTGAATACACTATTTGTATACGCAGACCTTGAGATAAGTAAAGGCTTGCGGCTGGCGTGCTGCATTTTCTGCCTCGCGATTTATCACCACGATGACGTCACTGTGGCAACAATACTCCGCGCATTCTTTTAGCACGAATAGTTCCTCTTCAAATAATACTAGTAACTACGCCCTCTAACTAACTGTTGCTCGCGACTTCGTCCGGGTGGTGATAAATATACCCTATGTTACTCCTAGATAAATTACCTTTCTAACGGTGCAAGAATTTTTGACATCGTCCAAGTAGGTTTTACGTGAATCGAATACATACAAAAATACAAATCTTTATAATATTGGTATAGATAACGGGAACGCTGTTTTACATGTTTCGGTTTCACTTAAAGAAAACATAGTAAAGTAACCGACGAGTCCGAGTTTCAAGGACGTCTAGTCTGGATTTATTCTTCGTCTAGTCCATAAATGCAGGAGGTATGCTTACTACTCGACCTAAGAGCATTATATATCTCCTATTTGGGTTTATTACACTCGTAGTGTAAGTTTATTTATTGTGGTAGTATAATTAAATCGAAGAGAATACACTCAGACAGTTAGTACAATATTTAATTGATTAAAAATAAAACATTGTTTTTATAACCGTATTTTTTAATAACTGTTAAAGGATTCTAAAGAAAAAAAACAAAACGTTAAGACGAAATTATTCCACAGAGGAAAGTTTTAAAACAGAATTAATAATTTAAAAAAAATCGTATATAGAAAATGTATAAACATAAATAAATAATTATGCAAAATGACAAAACTAAATACAGTTGTATTTTAGACTAGCTTTCGCCCGCGACTCCGTCTGCGCGGAATAAAAAAAAAAGCAAGTAGCCTATGTCTTCTTCCAAACTATCCTCTACATCTATGCTAAATTTCATCGAGATCCCTTCAGCCGTTTAGGCTACAAACTCTAACAAACATCCATCCATCCATCTAAACTTTCACATTTATAATATTAGTAAGAAGTAAGATTAGTAAGACAGTATCTCAAACTATTGAATAAACATGATTGTAAGATTTTAAAAAATTCAAATAATATTTTAATTAAAATATCTTTTACCAGACATCGGGGTTTCTAATTATCATATTTATTGACTGTCTGCTTTTATGTTTTGATTACATCTATGTTTTTATTGTTAGAAGGTAAGTGGAGTGACAAAATGACATACATATTACCATTTCCGTAGCTACTTGTTCTTTTACGTAAATTAAATATTATAATATGTTTGAAAAATAAATAACCCAATAGTTATGGCGATATCACATAACATGCTATGTATTGGGACCAGATGAAGTCATATAATATTAATCTTATTTGTGGTACGTTGCAATTACATTTCAATGGCGGTTTTTACAAATATCTCCTGTTTCTTTACATATAGTTAAAGTTGTCGGTGTTAGGAATGCGGAAGTTATCTAATACTTATGTACATAGAAGATACATAAATTTAATCTCAAAGGAAAAAAACAGATAATAGTAAACCAAATGGAACCTTTTTTTCTTATGCCTGACCGTAATGTCTATGTAATAATATAGAAATAGTGTTTTTATTATTTCGTACGTAGCGACGTGAGTTGAACATATGTTTTTGTATAAATTGACGCACGCTTTTGACTAAATTATCGCAAAACTGTTTAGTCGCGCTTTGATTCCTATATATGGAAGTGCGCACACAACTCGGTTCTTAGTTGTGCAACTAAACTATTGAGTGGGCTAAGAAACAAATGACAATCACACAACGTTGTTCGACAGTTTAGTCAAGTGTGCGTCCACTGTAATTGTTGACCCTACTAGAACAGTTACCATGACAGATAAAATCTATGCAAATAAGTAATCTCGCGAACACTACTGGATGGTGAATGACCGTTACGTCGGGCGATGTCAAGGTCATCACTGAATGACATCATTTGTCTCACAGAGTGCGTAATCACTACCGAAACACATGTAAAAGATTGGCATCCCTTTTCATCCTTTTCAAAAGGACAGGGATAGGGATATTTCGACTATTGTAATTTTGAAGTCGCAAATCGAACAAAAAATAAATATTCTCTACTTAAATCTTCAAATAAATGCTTTTAACAATTTACTACGCAAGTAAGAATCTTATCTAATCCCTAAAATACATGACTTTTTAACGACGACTTAATTACAAGAACGTTTAGTCATTGTGTCCAACTTTAAACTATACTTCGGTTTCCACTGCGGTTTCGTATGTATTGCTGTCCCTTTCGTTTATGGGCAAAATGTTAAAATGTCTCATAAACTTTATTTGTATGAAAACCAGCCTTGAAGTGAATGTAATTCTGCGATATGTCTGAAGTGCGTGTCTAATTTTAACTCACTTTCCCTTCCCATCCTTTATTTTTACGGAAAGCACGAGAAGGGGAGCAGAATTTGGTGGAGGGATCACAGGAAGGGAAAACATCCTCTGTGCGTCCTCTCTTCTGTCTATCAAAGATAGGGTCGCATCTGGAAATGCATATATCTATGGGCAGCGGTCACTTCGCCGCTTTGGCGAATTCAGATATTCGCTTTCTCATTTCAATGTTCACTAAATATGTAATATTGTTTTAATAAACGTATTAAAACGTGTTTATTCAGCAAGATTCCCTTATATCAAGAATGTCGGTCAAGTCGAGGCATAAAACTAGTTTGAACAAGGCGCTATAGTTGCAAGAATTATAAAAACACATAAAACAAACTGCAATGAAATGCCTATTTCATTACAATTTATATTATGAGAATTAATTGTTTTGGAAATAACCGAACACTGGTTAAAAAATCTTAAAAAAAACGAAAGTATATAAACGAGTATTTTTGTATGTGTTTTTTGTTTTGTCTATTTATCTACTTATGTGAAGCTGGAACGAATTACATTAGATAAAAAAATTCTGGATCTTTTAATATGATTAAACTTAATTTAAATAAATAAAGCGAACTTAGCGCACTGCTGTGTAATAACGTTTGAAATATCCGTACTAAATCTTGAATAACAAGTTTTTAATGATTACCACAAATTATAACTGAAATAAAATTAATTTTAAGACTACCTACAAGTCCCAATATTAATTTTGTATATAATTTGAATAGCAATAAAATTAAATAACATCTATAAATAAATAACAGAGTAATGGAGCTAAGGTATACAGATATCTCATTCTATACAGAATGAACCAGACGCATTTTAAATAACTTAAGCACACAATGATGCATTAAAAATCAAAAACTTAAAAATAAAAAACAAAACCATCAAAGCAAACCTGTTTGTAAAAATTTCACGATTTCGCGCGGCCGGCAATCAAAAATCAAAAATCTTTTTTAAGCTAATTAGAATTTCAGTAATAATAAAATATTAAATTCCACTCACCTGTACGCGATTCAAAGGCACAAATTTACTAATCTCTGTTTAAATTCACAGCAATTTGAACACACGATTCGCTAGCGCACTCGTGACCTAGCGGGCATTAGCACTCGCAGTGCAGCCAACAGCCAACCGATGAACCGCTCTTGGATTGGAGATTGGATTACCAATGTTGGTGCCGGTTGCCGGTGCCGTCCAGCGCCAATAAAATATTGCGTTGGTTGTGGTTGGTTAATGACAAAATGTTGGTGGAATGTAAAATATTGCAGTATGTTGGTAAACAGTGCTCAAGTGCTGCCCGCTCACGAAAATTTTTATTACCAGACCTAAAAACTGTAAGTTTTTATTAAAACATTTTGTTTAAAAAACAATGTGTCGATGTAAAGTTAAAACAAGATAAAAACGTTCTGTAATTATTTCCTTTCCTTAAACAGGGAAAAAAATATTTTCCAATCAAAGTTAGCGATGAAAGTATTATTGTTAAGGGAATAACATTATCCATACTTCTAGGTGCAACTTTTATTTTAATGATGTGGCCAATTTACTTCTTTAAAATTAATTGAGATATCAATGAAATAAGAAAGTAAATTAAACGAGTATAAAATCGACATGTTTTGATTGTTGTGACAGTAACTGTCATTCACAAAATGGTAAAACAAAATCGTTATATGGTATCCCTAGATGGTACGCTCAAAGCTCAAAGCATTTAAAATTCAGCCGTTTTTATTTTAACCGCCGCTCTTGGACTTGACTATTTAATTTAACTGCGTTTATGCTGCACTTGTATGCAATTCAAGTATATGATCATAAAAAGTGTTATTGGTGGAATAGGAGTGATTTTACTGTTTTGTTTTTATGTGTTTTGTGCGTCTAGTGTCATTACATATAGATAAATTGTAAAATATAATTTGCCGTAAGTATACTGACCTAGTAAATCATGAAAAACTGAATTATTGAAAAACTAATCCCATTTTATTTCGAATCAGCGTTGTAATAAAACACAATTTTTTGTTAACCTTATGATATGTAATTACTAACGTCTATTTTGATATGCTTAATGTTTTATAATGTAATTCGCAACAAATTGATGAAATACTATTAATTAATTAAAACCGTTAAATCCAAATATGATTACTTATGCTTGCTTGGGTCCCATTAAGATAAGGTAAAAAAATGCCGCGCTTTACCTTCACCAAACTCCTTTAATCTTTTTTGTAGTAAATGTAATATTTTTATTGGAATACATTACAGGAAGCCATGTCTTCGGTTAATGATAGACTTGCCAAGTTAAGGGAGGAAAGAAAAGCAAGAGAGGAGGAGAGAATTAGAAAGGTGAACTTTGTTTTTTTTTATTTGAGCTTCATATATGATGCAACATCATCTTTGTAAATTATATCTAACTTGTTATTTTCTTACTCTTAAGTATACAATGTTCATTATTTTTAATTTTCAGTTAAGAGAGCTCAATTTGAAGAAATACAACAGTTTTCACTCGTCTTCGGAATCAGAGACTAAAAATGGAGTATCAAATTCAGTTAAGAATCAACCCCGTGTTTTATCTGCTCCGAGAGGATCTGTTTCAAGTTTTGCAAACAAACCTACCACTAGTAAAGATGTGGCTTCCAACAGTAGACATGAAGCATTGTCGAATTTAAAACGACAAAAAAGTACTGAAATTAAACCAAAAAACAGCACATGCAACGGAAGCCATGTTGGAAATAAACCTGTTTTACAAAAGGCTAATAGTAATTTTGCAAGTAGTATAAGCAAGTCTTTCAATTACACAAGCACCACAACCAAGAATCACTCTGAATTGAATAAGAATCATTTACATGTTAAAAACGTAAATCAAAGAGTTTCAACAGTTCCTAGACCTATAAAAAAACCTACAGTATCAAATAATGGACAATCCAGCAGTAAAATGGAATCAATTACTAGTGTTCAGGATAATAAAGAGGTTGAGTCAAAAGATAATGTTCAACATGATAATAGTACTGGAAATAAACAAACATTAAATATACCAAATGGAGAAAAACAAGAGCCAAATGTTGCTGATAACTTGCCACAAACTAGCAATAGTACAGAACAAAGTGCTAACACAAAGACAAGTACGGCAAACAACAAAGTCACTGCTAACCATCGTAAAACTCTGGCACCAATATCTACCAAGTCCAGTGTAGCGATAAAATTATTTACAACATCTAAAACGGATAATAGGAAAAGCCTTCCTGCTTTTAAAACTAAAGACATTAAAAAATTCTCTCCAAGAAGGGAAACAGTTTTTGAACGATTATATAAACCGAAAACGGTAGCTAAACAAGTTGTGGATGATGCGCAGAGATTGAGGACAGATCCTAGTTATTTGAAAAAACTTATTGAAGAATCACAACTGACTACAGGAGTGAAACGCCCTATTCCACAAACCAAACCAGTTAGAAGGTCTATTTCGGCTGTACATTTACGAAGAATCAGTAAAAGTGAACAAGCAAAATGTATCCAAAATTGGGCATCGGTTGGAGAAAAGTTAGATAAAGTAAATGTAAACGAAATAGATGAAGATGATTGTATCAATTATGAGAAAGTAGTTTCTGCTGTTAAAAGTGAGAGGAAGAAAGTGAAATTTATGACTCCTGTTACGATGAAGTATAACACTCCAAGTTCGGAAGAGTTGCAGGCTAGGTTGCAAAAATGGTTACAGAAACATGGCAAATCGATGGACTCCTATCATCATCTGCAATGTTTTGGTATACGTCATCTAACTAAGAAGCCATTGGAATTACCAGTTCTACCGTTATTCAATGATGAGGACGAAAATAAAGAAAATGTGGCAGTGGAGTCAGACAGTGACAATCAGTCTTATACGGACAATCTAAATCATCATGAAATTGACTTTCCTAAAGAAGACAAAGATGATTTCGGCAAGGACAAGTGGCGTAGCGCGAGATATGTCAGCGAGAGTGTCAGTTTGAATGAGATAAATGACATAACAATGACACCTTCCGTTGACTTCAATCATCTGGATGTGTTGCTGCACGGTGCTCTCACTGACTTGACTGAGTTGCTGCGAGAGGTAAAGTTTTACAATTTTATAAGTGACTTGAACTTGTTATTGCTATTTTTTTTCTATGCAGACAATGGAAAAGTTATTTTGTAAAATTTCGGCGCACACAGATTCGCTGTTAAAGCATGGTAATAAAAAGCCAATAAACTTTAATAGAAAACATGATGCCAAATACTGAAACGACATTAAATGACAAGCTTACGCTCAATTTCGACGTAAGCCAGATTGTATGGGGCGCTTACGAAGTGAAGTGTTCAAGATCTGTTTCAGTGTTTGGCCTATAATCCCGTATGTACCAGGCAATCAAGACGCTAAGTGTATTCCTGTGCAGGGATTCGATTGGGAACAGTGTGCGTGCTGGCTGCGCTCCATCCGCGACCGGTTCCCCGCGGCCACGCAGACGGCGGCTTACTGGGAGTGCCGCGCTGCGCTGGAGGAGCGCCGCGGGGACCTGCCCGCCTCCATGCAGTGTTGGGAAGAGGCCATCGCTATGGGCACTGAGGTATCCATCGTCATGTCACTATGCCTCCTCACTGAGGGGTAACTACCCTAAGTGACGGGTAAATAGGCCATAGTTACCCTTCACAATAAGAATGTCGGGTGCAAAATCGAAAATCACATTGGTACACGGCGAGATTCGAACCCAGGACCTGTAAATTACAAGTCTAGGGCTTAAACCACTGAGGAACCAATGCTCTAATCTTTACTTCAAGGTTAAGATTTCTCATTATCAATTACCATGACAGTTTTGCATGTTTTCAAGTATAAGTACAACTAACACCTGTTATGCCTTTACACAGCGCTCAGTAGTGGAAGAGAACTTGGACCAACTGTTGGATAAGTTTATGCAGCTTAAGATCAGCCCCAGCAACCGCCACGTGCCGAAGGTGGACCCCAAGATGGTGGATGTGAAGAATGTCTTGAAGAGTACCATTATAAGATTTGCTGTGCACAAAGCGAAGATGTAAGTTAATTTCTGCGACTTTTATTTGACGAGAGGATTTTTTGCATCTTTTTCATTAGCAAGAACTATGAGCTTGCTTAATTTAGGAATCATGGTTAAGGGAAATTTGACTGTTATCCATCTAATTTTTTTCCTACTTGCTTCTCACAGTAATCTATTAAATAGTTTCTAAACCATTTCGTTTTATACACAAGTTCTGTCTTTAATCCTAATTTTAATACTTACCTTTTAAAACAGCCCTAAACCTACTCCTGAACGTGTGAAATCCGAACAATCAATTGCACCTTTACATAGGCAAGTCTAATTCTTTTTTAATATAGGGCTACAGATTTAAATGTATCAAAAATGTACTATATTGTAGTTTATGGTCCAGTAGCTACAGATCAATGGAACCTTTTATCTCTGTAGGTAGGTATAGTATAAATTGAATTGTTTATTTTCATAGTAAGGTTTTAACATATTTTTTCAGTCGTAATTCATCAAATCCCGAGCCAGCGAAGTACACGGTGACTCCTGTCCGTCGAAGTGCAAGGCTCAGTATGCACTACAGCAGCGCTCGCACGCCGCTGCAGGAGTGTGCTACCGTCAGCCAGGCCTCCAGTCTGGGACATCCTGTATTCTTTGTGCCCAACGACCAGCTTAATGGAACACCGTAAACAACTAGTGTCGGCGACATCCAATGTTGGCGACACCAAATGTCGGTGACATCTAATGTCGGCGACAACCAGTGTCGGCGACAGCTCTAGCCAAGGTAGAGCGATATTGTCTTCTATTTGCTTTATTTCGATACTTGAGTTTAATGTCATATATAAATTTTTTTGAGCTATAATTTCTTTGGTTTCTGCCTTGCCATTTGTATTGATTCTTATCTCTCTTATTTTATTGCAAATAGACAAAGACAACCGATATTGGTCAATATAAATGTCACAGCAGTTAAAGTCCGCAGTTGGAGATTTGAAGTTATTTTATGTTAAACTTTTTTCATGTATTGCCCTCGTTGTACCCTAGAGCTGTTGCTGTACTTTGGTACGAAAGGAACATCCTGTAGTGTTAATAAACCAAACAATGAGCGTAATGGTACCCCCTGTAGCAAGTCTCCTTAGTCCTAGTTGCTTACTTGATTAGAATTTAAGTCTTTATTTTCTCTTTTCCTTTCAATATTCTATTTAATTTGTATTCTATAATTTGCATATCCCATTTTAATATATTTTTGTTTATTATTTGTATTTGGAAATTAAAATTATGTGAATTTTCTTTGTTAGACAATGTTTGCTAGATGCGAACAGTTGATCTTTTGTAAATAGATTCTAATGTTTGTGTTACTGTATTTCATATTATAACCAATTATTGTAATGATAATAAATATGATTTATGATGAAAGGCTACCAATTTATTTACCATTAAGTTTTTTTTATAAACATTGTAGCGAAACAGTTGGCTTCATATTCGAAAGTGGCGCCACCAATCACATGTGTAAAACTCCGTAACCTTGAATAATGTCAATGTCAACTGCAATTTACAAATGTTGCAATAAACAACCCGTGATTTATCTACGTCCTCGGTATAATGATATAACATTCAAACAATAACATTCTGTTCAATTATTTTATATTTATAGAATCGAATAGTAGTCCCATATTTTATTAATTAATCTTTTAATAATTTAATTTACAAATATTTGCTATTTGACACTTCTCTTCATTTTCATTGTAAAACAAATAGGAATTTATTATAATTAACATTGTAATGAGATGGCACGCGATAACCAATTCAAGGAAATTACATACCAAACAAGTTTTTTCTTTTATTTTTTCTACCAAAGAAGTAACTTTTTGTAAGTTGGCATCACTGAAAGCTGATCATTCATCTGTCAGTTTAACATCTCGCGTATCATTGTCAGAATTTCATTCTTCGGACACGGTTCATTCACATCTGTAAATAGTGTCAAACAATTGTCAATTTATTTGAATTTATGAATGTGCGGGTGATTTTCAATAATTTTTACTAAGAAATATAGTCGAATACAACACAATATTTCATAAATATTCGATTCCAATCGTTGTGAAGTTGTGTGTTGTTACTGTGTCTTCCGATCAGCTGATTTGATCGTACGTTTGAAATAAAATTGATGTCGGTGAGTTTATATTTAAATATTCCGCTTCCAATATTGTGTAAGGTAACCTTTGATAGCTTTAACATAAGGTTTCGCTCTTGTCAGCACCGTTATTTGTACTGCAATATTCAGAACACATTTTCCTGTTTTTTTGCCGCAAGTGTGTTAGAAAGTTAAGAATTTCTTCCTAAGTTAGGATTAAGTTAAGATTTTCTTACCTTTGTATGCAAACCAGATTTTCCTTATTTTTCTTTAAATGATTCCGCGTAAAATTAATGGAATAAGCACCAGCTCAGAAGAGTATGATAAGATTTAAAATAATTTGATAAAGTAAATGATTTTCCAAACCAATTTAATCAGTAAAAGTGCCAGTTTCCGAGATGTTTGGCATTTTAGTATAATTTAAGTATTAAAATTAAATGGTGGTTATTACCATATTTTTTTCTTGAATATTTAGTCACTTTTTTTTTACTGTCTCATATCAGCTAACTCCAAAGTCGCACAAATTTTTTGTTCCGATTTTTGTTGTTCAATCTAGAATATTAAATAAAAAATCCCTTTTACATAGTAGTATTATTTAGACTTAATAATGTGACGTGATGAAACATTATTCCAAGAAACAATTCCATTTTAGGAGAAAACAATTATTGTGCAGTTGTTCGCTAATTAAAACAAAGAACCCGTTGAAACGCAAACAATTTTATTCCTTTATCGGGTAATTACAAAGAAGTGATGTCTTCTTTACGAGTCCAGTCCAGTGAATTTAGCACTGGTTTAAAACATGGCAGTAAATACTTTTTGTTTTCCAGTGTGATTTTCCATACAAATAACTTAACTAAATATTTACAAATAACACTGAAACGAATCTTCACTTAGTTTCATAAGCGTTATTTACAATCTAAAAGTAAAAAATTCATTAGGTCTTGGTGTTTATGTGTACTTATCATTGAGGACGCTTTTAAATATTTAAATGCCATTTTACTATCTTAAAACTGCCACAAAAGCACAGCATATATGTATGCAAGTTCATTGAAGATCGATATATTACCTTAGGGTAGGAAATAAACGCCCTTGACTGTACAGATTTACTTAAAAGGAGCTTTGTAAGGTCAATAACTTGTGACGCGAGAACCTGTTATATTCGACCTGACGACCGTTCGCGATTTCACACTACACAAACCGTTGCTTTGTTTATACTATTACAAGGAACTAAGAAACATACGCCAGTGAATCAGAGTGTTTTCAGCAACCGTACCAATATAATAGCTTGTACTTCCGAATGAGAATCGCCCGACAAATTACTAATTTTTTAACACAATGTTTAAAAAAACAAGAAATAAAAATAGTGGAAAAAAGAAAAAGAAATCGTGCAAAAGTACGGACCTGTACGGTCTGTAGATGTTGGTAAAGAAAAAACGAGATACCACGATGAGGCATTTTGACTACCAACATTCAAATATGGAAAAACAAACGCGTTGAAGTAATTTAACAAACACGTTTTTCAGAATTTCAGGTCGTATTTCTCGTTGACATGCAAAAATATCTCAACAAAAACGAAAGATGACATCATAACGTCTTTGTTATTGGTTCCTCGTAAGAGACAATAGTAGTTGTTGCGGACAATTATCTTACAATTGGTAGCATATTGACTGCATTGTGTTAGTCGTATATCAAACTACATAATGTGTAGATACAAAATATCATGTCTCGATCTCTTTGAAAAAATAGAGACTGGCAGCACGAAATTTTCGTAAAAGAATCGACATCAATAAATAAAACATTAGATATGGACACTGTTGCTCGTGACTTGTTCACGTGAAATAAAATAAAATTAAAAAAAAAAGCATATGTTACTCAGCTATAACGTAGCTTTTTAATGGTGAAAGAATTTTTGAAATCGGTTCAGTAGTTTTCGTGTTATTTCAATGCATACACAACTACAAATCTTTCCGTCATCACATGTGATGTAACTTTCTCTGATTATGCTAGAGGCCAAATTCTAGTCCCTTTACCCTTATACAATAGGATTCCCACGAGATAGCTTTTGTTCTGGTAACTATACATTCTTGAGTTACAAAAACTCAGGTAAACCTCCAAAAAAATTTAATCGTCAGTCTTATTGGTAGTAATATTTAAAGCCCTCTAGCTTTGTTCCGATAGTTTGAACTGAAGAGTCGAACTATTCTTTTAAAACTGCTCAGTTCTGAGTGTCTGTATCGATCTTTACAACAGCAAATAAACGAAAGTCAAAGTTAAACAGAATGTAATTATTGTATCAGTAGGACCTTGGAGGTATTAACAATTATTAACTATAATTATCATTAAATAGTTTAATAAGAACGTTGAATTGTTATCATTATTAAGACATCAAGCAAATATTTACCTCTTAAAGGACCTTGTGATACGACTAACATAACGAGGTAAATGTTTTTATATCTGGAATAGAATTTGCTAGCTTTCGCCCGCGATTCCGTCTGCGTGGGGTTTAAAAAAAGTAAGTAGCATATGTCTTCTTTCCGACATTCCTCCACGTCTATGCCAAATTTCATCAAGATCCATTCAGCAGTTTAGGCTACAAACATTCATCCATCTAAACTTTGGCATTTATAATATTAGTAACTAGCTAGTCCCGTGCGATTTCGTCCGCCTAAAATTGTGAAAATTTAATTTAATTGTTTACACGTCTAATTATCAATAGCAAATGTCAAAATGACATGACATGACAAACCTTGACAATTTTGCTTCCTTGATGTTGGCAGCAACTTATGGTCTCTTTCCCACATTAGGATTTTATCCAAAAATTTACCCCCTGAGATTAATGGCGTGAAAATATATAGCCTAAAGCGTGACGTAAGTGTTGGGCTTTTTAATAAAGAAAGAATTATTCAAAAACATGCTGTAATTGCTGACATCTTAGGCAACAAAGAAGTGTGTGTTTACGCTTTATTATATTAGTATATATAAGTAATTGTTTTGTAATTTAGGAACGCTGTAGTTATACTTATATTAAAATTAAAACAATGTAAACGTAATTATTCTTTTTTCCTCAACATCAAGCGAGATGTTTTGTATTAAATTACCATGAGCTAGGTATAGGCAGTGACGTCAGCAACCATGGTAAACAGCGAAAGTTGTAATGAAAACATTCACTGCAGTTATAAAATAAACCGCAGTTTTTATGTCCGTACGTACCAGTGCTGTTAAAACCCGATATTGGTACATTCTGTGTGCTAATGTGGTTTTTCGTGTTAAAAAGTCTATGGTTGCTTTATGGTAAACTAAATACTTCTCTATGAGTAGCTATACTAAAATAAACTTCTGAAAGTAAAATTTTTGTACAGTTCTACTGTTCAGTTAAATCTAAAAATAGGTAGATACTTGTCTTTTTATCGATGGTTTTCATTCGTTTAATCCAGATTGACGGATCTCGGTTTAGAGTCTAGACTGCTAGATATATTTATTATTTAAACAAACCTTGAAAATATCGAGTGCTATGTTTTTCGTTCGTTTATAAATATAAATTCAATGTTCTGTATGGTTTTACTGAATTGTATAGGTAATAAATGACCGTTGGGTACTTCATGGCCTCTGATTGTGGGTTTCTTTTCACCTCTTTTGGTAATGTTGTTGTTACTAACTAAGCTTGTATGATATTTGCATGTCGTGTGAAGCTCTGCAATTATCTCGTCTGATTCACTAGCCTTTGTTTCGACTTCTTACACAATGTTGTTGAGAGACCATGTTCTTTGGCGAAGTATTAAGTCTGTACCTTACCAAGGCATTTATTAACGTCAATCCGTCTTTCCCAGTTTTATTTTTTGTTAATAAACTTTTAATGTGTTAAATATTATGTATGCTTTAACAAAAGGAATCGCAATCGATGTAAAAACGTTAAAAGCCACGGGCAGAACCTTGTGCCCGCATCATTCCGCTGCTGAGTTTAATCAAAAATTACTGTCAGGCAAGATGATATCACGCTCTTTAAAATTGACGGAAATTTCCATTCCCGGTTAAACCAAACTCAGTACAAAATGGCAAATCAATTGTCCCACTGCTAAGTAATCGGATATCATAACTACTTTGTACCACGCACTCGGTAGTAACAACAAACGCACATACGTCTGCTAACATCCTGGTACTGACAGGCTGCCATACTACACGATGTTTGCTTGACCCTGTGTTATCGATTCCATTTCACTGAAACACTCGTTTCATCCGCTTATATAACGCTTTAACTTGAACATCATCAAATTAACTGTTTCTATAATTTTTTTTTTACAATAGCTATATACATAGTGAAGGTATTCTCGGTACATTGTGAGCTATGCCCTATACGTAAACTTATAGCTCAAGCTAGAGTTAATGTTAGCCTAGAGCTCTTTTTGTCAATCGAGTTCGATTGTCTTTACAAACTTTAAAAAAATGTCAAAGACACATAAATCTAAATTAATTTTTAATTCACTAGTTCTTGTCTATAACTATACTAATATTATAAAGAGGAAAGATTTGTTTTTTAGGATTTGGTTTTTCGTATGCGTTGGATTCACGTAAAAACAACTGGGCCGATTTTATAAATACTGTCACCTTTAAAAAGCTATGTTATGTGTAACATAGTAATTATTATATTTTAAATTTACGCGGATGAAGTCGCGAGCAACAACTAGTGGTATATAAGTATTTGAAAAGAATTTTAGTAACGTAAGTTAAAAGTATTATTCACGAACGTCCCTGAAATATGTCTTGGTATCACGTAACATGTCGATATACCGTGACGTGAGATGAATCACAAATTCATAGTAGTATTTTGTTTCCATTGACTGATCGAGTGGGCCACGAAAATAGCGGCGAAAGTTTACCATGTTACCATCATGGCAATGATTTAACTTTTTTATAGAGAATCAAATTCCAAACAAAATATGAATTTATCGTCCACTCGAGTGAATAATTTAAAAATATCTCATAGATAAAAGTGTATTTTCATATCTTAAACATTATAACCAAGACAAGGTTTTACAAGTAAA